CTATTTCCACCCCCCCCCCATGCCTTAGATTCTCATACTCATTCTATAATAATGGTTTTATACAGTATTTGTCCTTGTGGAACTGTGTTAGTTCACTCAGCATAATGCTTGCTCTCCAGACCTTCCCAAGTTAGGTGGTAATTGACAAAATTATTGCTCCTGCATGCTGCGTAGTATTCCACTGTATAAATGTACCACAACTTCTCAGTCCTTTCGTTTGTGGTTGGACATCTGGTCTGTTTCCATGTTCTTGTAGTGGTGAATAATGCTGCTAAGAACATTGGTGTACAAGTTTCCATTTGAGCCTCAGTTCTCATTTTCTTGGGTTATATTCCAAGCAATGGAATACCTGGGTTATATGAATTTCTATTTTCAGGTTTTTGAGGAAGCACCAAACTGCCTTCCAGAGTGGTTGTATAATTAATTGTACATTCCCACCAACAATGTAAAAGAGTTCCTATCTCTCCATATCCTCTCCAACATTTATTACTTGCTGTCCTATTAAACTTGGCCACTCCTTACTGGAGTGAGATGGTATCTCATTGTGGGTTTGATTTGCATTGCCCTTATTGCCAATGATTTGGAGCATTTCTTCATATGTCTATTGGCCATTAGAATATCTTCGCCTGTGAAAATTCTTTACATGTGTTTTGCCCATTTTATAATTGGGTTATCAGACATTTTGTGAAGGCCCAGGAGTATTTGATAAACTTCCATTATGAGATTTTTGTCTGAGATGGTATTACCAAATGTTTGTTCCCAGTCAGTAGTGTTTCTTTTTACCTTGTTGGGAAAAGTTTTTGATGAACACAGGGATTTAATCTTCAGAAGCCTAATTCATCAGTTTTTTCCTCTTCAGAGTGTACATTTCTGACTGTATTTGGCAGTCTCTTTATACCACAAACTAGAGCTCCTAAACTTGATCCCAGTTTGTCTCTTACAAACTTTATGGTTTCGAGCTTTACTCCCAAGTCTCTTAGCCATCTTGAGGTGATTTTTGTGTATGGTTTGAGATGTGGATCCTGTTTCAGCTTTCTGCAGATAGCAGTCCAGTTTAGCCAGCACCATTTATTGAAAAGGTTGTCATTTCCCCATTTTATAGGTTTTATTTCCTTGTCAAATATCAGTTGACCATAGATTGTTGTTGTTAAGTGCCGTCGAGTCGCAGGTGACTCACAGCAACCCTATGAAGGAGAGCCCTCGATGCTTGGGTGCCTTTCATCCTCTCTCCAGATTCATAGGGTTTCCGAAGGCAAACTATTATGGAAGTGGATGCCACTCCTCCTTCCAAGCTTGTTTTAATCAGGGAGCTCCACCCCACTCTGTCCGCATTGGGTAGCCAACCATTAATGCATTTGACACGTCAGTGTCACAGTGCAGCCTCACAACAACCACAAGTGACCACAGCACGGCAACTTGTACACCAGGGCTATACGACCTGGGTCTATTTCTGGGTTCTCAGTTCTGTTCCACTGATCTATGTGCCTGTCATTGTACCAGTACCATGTTGTTTTGATTACTACCTTTGTGTAGTAGATTTTGAGGTTAGGGATTGCTATGCCTCCCACTTCATTTTTGTTTCTCAGAAGTGTTTTGCTTATTCGGAGTCTCTCCAAATAAACTTGACAATTTCCCTTTCGATCTTCTTGAAAAATTAATTTGGTATCTGTATGGGATTGCACTGAATATGTAGATTGCTTTCAGTAGGATTGTCATTTTCACAATATTGAATCTTTGAATCTTCCTATCCATGAACAGGACATTTTTCCATTTCTTTAGGTCTTTTATTGTATCTTGCAGAAATGTTCTCTAGTTTTCTTTTATAGATCTTTTGTATCTCTAGTTAGGTTCACTCCCATGTATCTCAATTTGTTGTTGGCTGTTGTAAAAGGTATTGCTTTCCTAGTTTCCTTCTGAGTTCTCTTTGTTATTGTAGAGGAATCTCACTGATTTTTGGATACTGATCTTATATCCTGTCACTCTACTAAATTGGCCTACTAGCTCTAACAGGTTTTTTGTTGAGTCTTTGGGATTTTCTGTGTATACTATCATATATCAGCATATAGTGATATTTTAACCATCTCTTTGCTGATCTAGATGCCTTTTATTTCCTTTTCTTGTCATATAGCCCTAGCAAGCACTTCCAGTACAATAGGTGACAGTGGACATCATTTTAGTCTCTCCATTGAGAATGATACTGGCTCTTCATTTTACATATACATTTGTTTTGTTTTTGTTTTGTTTAAATAGCATTCAGTTTATTACAAATATTTAGTATTGGCTTCCCATATTTCACCCCTTTTGTTTTTATCATAATTATGTTATCATCTAGATGAGCATCCTTTATATACAAACAAATAAAACAAATTAAACATAATAAATTCAAAGAAATACTTTCAAAAATCTCCATATGATCAGAAGGATTCAGGTTGAATATTCCTTGAAAGGTTGTTTTAATTGTCCAATTGCCACAGTGCTTGTCAAAGTCAGTTCTGATTAATCTCCTTTGTCAGTGTGTCCTTTGCCATTCCCTATCACTCCTCCCTGAGAGAGATTTCATCCTGATTCATAAGGAAAAGGGGATGGCATATTCTCTTAGCTACTTCCTGCTGAAAAGGGACGCTGTAGGTTTCAGGGTGAAGATCTTCTCTCACTACTCTAAAGGGCCCTCTGGCAATAGGAAACACGTAGACTATTGTGGAGATTGATTTTGGAATTTAGATGCACTGCATTTCATTTTTATAATTAGACATTTTACATGCTGTGAAAAATCTCTCTTCTATAATCTCTTCAGGATTCTTCTACACTTTTCAGGGATTTTTAAGTTGTGAATTTATAGTTACTATAATTTTATAACTACTATAACATGAATGGTAATGGAAAAGATGTTGTGAGGCTGGCTCAGAGCGTAGTTCTCTTAATTGATCTATTTTCTTTCTTTCCATATTTCCTGCTAAAGTTAGTGATGCAAAAAATAAAGACAATAGAAAATCCTATTTTTGAATACAAAAAATAGGAAATTGTACAACATTTTATTTCTTCTCTTACAGGCAGCCATAAGAAAAGAATTAAATGAATTTAAAAGTTCAGAGATGGAAGTTCATGAAGAGAGCAAACATTTTACACGGTAAGACTCAAAGACCCACCAAATATTGTGAGCTAAGTAAAGCCTCTAAAAACATAGAAATCCGAGACAGTCAGATATGGACACTAGTGATGTGCTTCTAAGAACTAAAAGTGATGTTTGCAGGAAGCTCCAGAGAAAGGGATGAGCTTTCCATTTACACCGCCTGCAGGCCTCTCTCCCTTGGCACTCCACTTTGTACATGTGTAATAGGAAGCATGGCTGGAGAGTTCTATGCAGGGGGACCCAAACACGAGTGCTCCCCTATTGACAGAACCATAAAGATGAGAAAAGAAATGGAAGCAAGGAAAGTGGTTTTAATCTGGGGCCTCCTCAGTGTATTGATGGCTGGGGTTATATATTTAATCTGGGGCCTGATGGCTGGGGTCATATATATATATATATATACACACACATATATACATATATATACATACATACATACGTGTGTGTGTGTGTAAATGAAAGAGATAGATAGATAGATAGATAGATAGATATATGTAGATATATATATGGAAATGGAAGATATATATAGATATATATATATGGAAATGGAAGCTAATTAAGAAAAAAATTGAGAGTTGAGAGGGAGCTCTGGTGGCCTAGTGGCAAGAAGCTGCACTGCAATCCCAGAGGTACATGGTTCAAATCCACCAGATGCTCTGCTGGTGAAGGAGGGACAAACTCTTCCTGTACCAGTCAGGTCCAATTTGATGGCACAAACAAAAACTCATGATAATATTCCATTTTCTAGGTCAGGAAACAGAGGTTCAGGAGGATGAAATGACTTGTTTGCTAATTAGTTACAAGACCAAGAATTGGAGAAAAAAATGAGTGAGATCAATATGATAAATGCCTCGGACTCAGTCTACCAGGATTTAGGTTGGCCCAGCTATGTCTGAATGAGCTACTTTTGTTGTTATAGTAATCATAAACTACTCTAGTGACCACAAATGAAGGACTAAGGATAAGTTTTGCAGTCGTACACAAGGAAGCATATAGGCTGAGGGTGGGGGGTTTGTTTTTTAAATAGTCTAAAAATCTAGTCTGTATCTTGAAGTATATAGGAAGGAAGGATTACAAACAGAAGAGCCAGCATAAATTAATCTATGGTTCAAATCAAAGAAATGGCATTGAGAATACAATAGGAGATGGGTTTAAAAGACATTTTAAGCATAGAATCAACAAGATTTTGTAATGTAAAAATAACTGTTTTCACTGAGTCGGTTTTGACTCATGGCAATCCCATGTGTGTCAGAGTAGAACCCCACCTGAGAGTAATGTCAGTAGCTGTGATGTTTGGGAAATGTATCAGCAAGCCTTTCTCCAGGGTTGCCTTTTGATAGAAATGAATCAAACTCTGACTTGTAGTCATATCCTTAACAACTCTGGTCAAAATGACTCTCAGATTTTGAACTTGTGATTTTATGAAGGAGGGAGATAGTTCAAGCTTACTTTTAAGGACATTTATGCAATTATTTATATGATAGGGAGAATGCTTGGCGTACTGCAGGGATCAGTCAGAAAACATTTAATCTAAAAAGGCAGGCAGACAAGAAAAAAATGTAGAAAATAAATTACTTAAGTGTGGAGCGCTTGAGGCAACAATACAAGGTGCAGATGCCTAAAAGCTAACTGGATGTTCAGAAGCAAAGGACTTAAAATTTATTAAAGAATATTGTGAATCTTTAGTGGGGGACATGTTTACGGGTGGGGGAGAAGGAAAGGACCAGGAAAGTATATTGAAGAAAAGCAATGAAAGAGGGAGAAAGATAACTAAGAAGAAAATAGAGTCATGGAAGCCAAGAGAATTTCAAGAAGGGCAGATGGGATTAGAAACATCACATGTTACTGAAAAGTCAGGTTGTCATAAAGCAATTATTTTTTTATTAGCATATAACATTTCATTGCAGTTTATTTAATAGCAAAGCAGTCTACATTAGCTGGTAACTTTTCTCTGTTTGATATTTTAGCTACCATCGTCCATGATGCTGAGAGAACTAAACCCCCAACACAACCCGTTTCACTGCTTCATCTTCCAAAGTGACACTGGGAACCCTGGCGCTTCCCAGCCCACCAGAATTGGGCCCTCTGGGGAGTGGTTCTGAGTTGAACAGCACTTCTATGAATGTGTAGCATTTCACTGGAATAGAATCTAAATGTGCTACTCTTAGGCACATCTGAACACTTTGTGTTTCTGAATCTTTTAATATTGCAGCATACTTGGTGAGGTCTTCCCTCACTAGCCACCAAAGGTCTGGGCCACCTGCAGGTCCCAAGGGTTTTTTGGTTGCGCCACACCTTGCTTGTGCCTTACCTGCCTTGGCCTGGTTGTGAGGCTCACTTGTGTAGATGCTAAGTACCAGCCATCAATTTCAGTTGGCAGCAAATTCCTTTTGGCAAAGGAATCCCTACTTCCTAGGGAAGCTTTTACACCACATTAACATGGCAGTTCAGAGGTGCTGAGCTGCTACCCCAAAGGTAGGGAGTTCAAACCCATTGCTGTGCCATGAGAGAAACATGTAACAGTCAGCTTCTGGAAAGACAGTCATGGAGATCCTATGGGGCAGTTCTGATCTGTCCTATAGGGTCACTGAGTCAGAATTCTACTCCACATCAGTGGGCAGATACCTCTTATCATACAGCAATATGTTCCTCTTGAGGCACTCAAGTCTATGAGGAAGCTCAGGACCCACAGATTCCCCCTTTCTGGCATAGGTCACTCCTTTTTAGAAACTTTGTCAAAGAAGCTGAGCTGCAACCAGATTTTAAGTTTGTATGTAAAATAACAAAGTGTATATATGTTCTATATACAAAAACAAAAAACAACAAAACCCACTTTTAAAAAGCCTTCATGTTAATGCCATGTCTGTGGCTTAAGTTGTATAGGTTGTTGTACTATCTTTGTACCAAATGACACTCTGAAACACTTCTCATAGATGCAACCTCTATAAAGCAGAATTGTAGTGGAAGCACTCTTTGTTGTTTTCCCCCCCACACCTTCAGCCAGAATCACTGAAGTAGGACCTAAGGGTTTGTGGGGTGCTAGATAGAAAAAGGTCTTGGGAAAAGCAACAAGAGCTGCTCCTGTTCTCAGTGCTGTTTACCCACTCTTGCTGCGCTCTCCCTCTTAACTCCAGACACTGCGGATCCTTCTGCTAACCTTCTCAGGTAGCTCCACCTCACTTCTCCAAGCTATAGCCAGTGCACGTGGTACCTAGCCATGGGCTCAGCCTCTGCTCCACAAACACAAGATTCATTAGCTTTATTTTTATTGGAAACTATATAGCCCCTTATTCTTATCACACTAAGTGGAGGGAAAAAATTTCTATTTTAACTGATTAATGTGGCTTGCTTTCTTGAATCTTCTGGAAGTTGTCACTGTTTCGTAAGCTGCTTCTGATTCTTAAAATCTTTCTCTATATTCTTTTCTCCTTTTATGTCAGCATAAAATTTGCTGAGGAATCAAAATATCAGGTCAAAACAAAAAAAACTCAAGTGACCTTAAATGGCAGTGTCTTGTAGGGTAAAAAAGGGCTATTTTGATATGTCAGTTCTGACTGGTTCCAAGTCCATGTCAGTATTTTTTTAAAGTGAGTTTTGTTGGTTTGTTTGTTTTTTTAATTTTAGTAATTTTCATTAAAATGTTGGATTTCCATTCATTCACTGCTGCACTTCTCTCCCCGCCCAGCCCTCCACCCCCTCCAGTTCGCTCCTCTCTTTGAAAAGCAAAAGAAACACTCCCTCCCTGGTACACGATACCCCCCCCCCGCACCCCTCCCACCACCCCAAGTACATTCCACTATGCAACCTTAATTGTGGACTCTTGTGATAACCATAATACCCTATCATACATACTTTTGAGTCACGTATTTTGACTGAAGAGAAAACTGGGTCCACGTTTCCTTGGGACTGTTATTTGAGATAATGTAAATGAATCTTGACATTAACTGCTAACTTGTCACCTGACCATTCTTTCTTGGTTTGAAAACTAATTGGTGTATGCCAACATTAGTATGCTTTGGGCTGACACTTTAAACCCCCTTTCTTTTCCTTAAATGTGCCAAGTTTGAAACAGGATTTTCCTGCTTCTGTGTGCCACCAAGGGATCTAGTTCATCTTTCATCTCATTCATGTTCAAGTAACTTTGGGGGTGGGGGGAAATGTTAAGTCGTTCTGAGTGTTTATTTTTTATTCTTTCCCTGTAATTACCAATTCACAGTGATAATGTAAAGAAGTAAAAGCCTTGTGTATTGTACTTCCATATTTCCCTGATGTACAGAATCTACTTGTAAAATAATTGCATTGTATATCAGTCTTCTTATCAATATTATTAAAGTATTTTAGAATTTAAAAAAAAAACTATACCATTCTAGTGTGATTTTTGTTGTCACCTTACAAAGTATAACTGATGGTTTGCACTAGGATGCAAAAGAAAAATTCCCTGTGCTGTCTGTGGCTGTGACAGTCTGGATTGAATGAGGGAGTACATCTGCAACCTAGGGAAGTTGAGTGCTTTCCACATTGGGAGTGTGATAATGCTCTTTTTATTATTTTTGTGTGAGTGTACCGTCAAATCAGATCTGACTGGTACAGGAGGAGATTGTCCCTCCTTCCCCGGCAGAGCATCTGGTGGAATCGAACCATGCGCCTCTGGGATTGTAGTTGCAGCTCCTTACCACTAGGCCACCAGAGCTCCCCATGTTTTTCTTACAGTAACAAATTTGGCACTTCTTTGGAGCTGTCATCTTACCTGGCTGCTGCTTTTCATCACCACCCCGGAACTTAGACAAATGGGACTGAGATACCATCTTGAGCTCCCCCTTTTAATTTTGACCTTCATTTATTTGGAGTGGAGGCATATTTTTTTTTTAAAGGGAATAAAAAAGTCATAGGTTGTCTAAAAAATGGATGGATGGTGAAGAGATTGAGATTGTACACAGCTTTAGTTTGCTTGGCTCCATAGTCAACAGTCTTGGCACCAGCAGCCAGGAAATTAAAAGGCACATTGCCATGGGAAAGTCTGCTGTTAGGGACCTCTCCAAGTGCTGAAGAGCAGTGGTGTCTCTCTGGAGACTATGGTGTGTCTGATACAGGCCATGGTCTTCGCAATCACCTGTTATGCATCAGAGAGTTAGACAATGACCAAGGAGGATAGAAGGAGAACTGATGCCTTTGAGCTGTGGTGCTACAGAACAGTATTGAGAATACCATGGACTGCTAGGAAAACAAACAGATTTATCCTGGGAAGGGTTAAACCGGGTGGCTCCTTGGAGGCAAGGATTCTGCGGCTCCATCTAACATACTTTGGACATGTTGTGAGGAGAGACCGGTCCTTAGAGAGGAACATCATGCTTGGGAGGGTGGAGGGACAGCACAGCAGAGGAAGGCCCTCTATGAGGTGGATTGATTCAGTGACTGGGATAATTGGGATGGGAGTGTCAGAGACAGTGCGATTGGCACAGGACAGAGCGGAGTTTAGGGCTGTTGTACATAGGGTCGCTATGAGTCCCAGGTGACTCGACGGCACATAACAACACCACACTAACGGATAAGACATTAAATGAGAAGTGAGCGAAAGGGGTATTAGATGTTGAAATTGATAAGCATAAGGACCTATGTTTGTGATAGTCTGCACATGTGTGGGGAAGGAATGGGCTGAAAGGAGGAGAGCTAACTGCATGCCATACTGTATACCAGCCACTGCCCTGGCTGCTTTATCCTGTTTAACTACCAAGTAGGGAGTTTTGTTAACGGTGCAGATTTGAAACCACCATTGGCTCCAAAAGAGAAAGATAGTTAATCTCCTCTGCAATTTATAGCCTCAGAAAACCAGCTGAGTCAGTTCCAACACAAAGGCAAGGAGCCATTTTGGTTTTTGAAACGCATGAATAGTAGTGTATTTATTCTTTAGTAAAAAACCAGAAAGGTAATGTCACTTTTCCAAAGTAAACACAAATTATGAGACCACCCTTTGCATATATCCCAGGACAATCAGTAGCTACCCAATGGAATACTCCAACAGGATTTGCCAAGTATGGACCACATAAAACTGGACATCACAATAGGATACTTGGAAATTCATGCACTTTTCTGGCAGGCAGCCGTTTCAATTCCAGATAGTCTCAGCAATGACTCACTTTCTGTTTGTCACTTCAGAGGGGCCTTATTTAGCACACTAAAAGAAACCATGAGTCAGAACTGCTCATGGCATCCGGTTCTGCTTCGTTTCCCTTCAGAGGCCTCAACCTGTTGTACTGCCTTTTTGGGTTGTGGGGTTTTTCCCATTGTTGCATATTTTCTTCCCCCCCTCCCAAACCCTCCCCGCAATGCACACCTTGTTCTCGATTGTTGTCATATCACCTTTGTAAGATTTAAGCATTGGCTCTAGAATAAGACTTTTGAAGGTTCATGTTATCCAATGATTGCTAATACAATGAATTTAGGATCTTTTTACAAGTTTAGATTACTGTTAGTCAACAGAGGACTTACAGGGAGGAGCTCTGGTAGTAAGGAATTGTGCTTCCAACCACAGGCACACCATTCAAATCCACGAGCTGTTCCATGAGAGAAAGATGGGTAATCTCTTCCAATGTGATTTACTGTCTCTAAAAACCAGCTGGAGGATCAATTGTGAGTTGGTGAGGACTTTGGCTTGAGAGTTAAGCTTGGAAAGTCACTATCAAAGAATAGATCCAGTGAATACTGAATTTGAGTACAGGATGGGATGGGACGTGTACTTATAAAAGATAAAAATATACAAAGGAAAGCCAACTTCAACTATTGTTTTAAGAGTCTATTAAATTCCAACCTTAAAAATGAAGGAGGACCACCAATGACTTGTCCCTTCTCTGTTGCGAATACTGTTAACTCTACAAAAATTATGCCTCCTCTGTTAAGAGCACAGAGGCACAAACGCCCTGAATTTTCCCTCCTCCCGGCACTGAGAATACAATTCATGTTTTATCTTCTTTCTAAATCCCCCCCTCCTCAAATAAACAAATAGTACCCTGTCTTCAATGTATAATCTCCTGCCTTCCTTTGCTTTCACATAATCCAAACAACTTCTAAACAACTTATAGTTAGTTGTTCCCTATAGTCCAAACAGTTGAGCAAGTGATGTCATATGCCCTCATGTTAACCATGACTCTTAGCAACCCTATGAACAACATATCAGAACCTTGCTGTATTCTGCATTATCCTTATAATCTCTGGCATGCTTAATGTTATTGTTAATCACTTTATTAATTGAGGGACTTCCTCTCTTCTCCTAGCCCTTTACCTCTCCCAGTATAACCAAGTGAGAGGTGGGGAACAGAGATTGGTAGGTATAATAAACTAAACAGACTTCTGTGTCATTTACCTCTTCTCTTAAAAGTCTTCCCTTTCTATAAAGACAATCACCCAACTAAATCCAGACTAAAATCATTTTCTAAAGGTCCCTACGGACTTAAATTAAATGCCACATCCAGAGACCTGTTTTCAATTCTTAATATGCTTGACATTTCTAACACCATTCAGTGCTCTTTTCCATTCCCTGTTCTCAAAACTTCCTACTTGGCTTCTGAAGCACTACTGTTGCCTGGTTCATCTCATCATTCTATCCTGTTGGTTTCCCCTTTCCTGAAAATTTATTTTTTTTTCCCCAGAGGTGAGAAGACAACAGAAGTTTAATCAGAAAACCTAGTCTCAGGATCCTAAGAAGGGTCCACTTCTGATGGGGGGTGTTCATGTGTACCCTAGAGGGTTTGATATACCCACCCAGCACTTCCACTGTCCCCTTCCACATCTGCTGACCATCCTGGCCCAGGACAAGGAAGAAGTGGAACTCTGAGACTTCCAGGTTTGAAGTCACTGGCTTTCTGACTTGCCCTCTTAATACAGAGGATGCTTAATTGGTGCTAAGATTTAGGTTGCCCAGCAAGAGGGCCACCCTGGATGCAAGCTGGTCCCTGGGTGCACGGTGGTTGCACAAGAGGAAGTCCTGGGCAGGGATCCTTAGAAACAGAGGCTCCAGTAGGCAGAAGCTCTCAGGAGCCCTGCGCCCAGATTGCAGGGCAGAGCAAGGCTGTGGTGCCAGTTGGGAGGGCCTCAGACTGGCCTCATCGACTCCTCACCAAGACCCTGTAGAGGGAGAAGCTCAGGATGGCAGCCAGGGCGGCCCCGGTGGCTCCCAACATTACCTGGAGCCAGGAGGTGGTGTGCAACTCGGCTTGCACCAGGTGTGGGAAAGTGGCCATGGTGGCCAGCCGGCTGAAGACAGCCGTATTGGATGTATCCAAGTTGATGCAGGAGAATGAGATAGGGGCAGGCAACCGATGCCGGCTGCAGAACTCAGCTGGGGATGAGCCAGGTGTCACCATGCCTTCAGGCAAGTCGGACTTTGAGAAGATGAAGAGGCAAGGGGTCTGTGCGTCCAGGTATCGCTGCTCTGAGTCTGTCCCTTCTCTTGATCCAGCCTCTTCTCACGGGTAACTGTGATGGCACTGGTCTGGGAGTCCTGCTCAAAGAGGATGGGATACCCCAGGTAGCCAAGGTGCCCGAGGCAGCGCCGCACATCCAGGTAGGTCACCAGGGTCCATTGGCAGAGGAACCCGTGCAGTGGGAGGTGGCCGCTGGCTGCAGTACACACTGTGCGGGAAAGCTCAGGGCCCCAAGGTGATGTTGGAAAGACGCTGAAGAGGTTCTGCAGCTCGGAGGGTGAGAGGACGCCATTGTGGTCCTGGTCGTGCTTCTCAAAGACTTTCTGCAGGAACTGGTAGCCGAAGTGGTTGAGCTCTGCACTGCAGCCCGGGGGCACAGAAAGCGGCGGGTAGAGGTAGTCATCAGTGAGCTGGAGGGCATCCCCATAGCCAAAGCGCCGCAGGATGGTCCAGGTGGTTTCGTGACGGCCTCGCTGGATGAAGATCTTGTTTAGGAAGAGGAAACCATCCAGTGTCAGGCGACCATCCTGCACACCACCCACCACATTCTTGCTCACCACCATCTTCACATCCTCCAGGGCCTGTGGGGCCAGTGGGTGTCCGAAACAAGCCTTCTGGAAGCTGTTGAGCTCCTGGTCACTGAGCATCTCGTCCTGATCTGAGAGTCTGAAGATACGTGTGAGTGCCTGGGCACACTCAGGCCGCAGCTGCTTGGCAGTGGGGTCGTACAGTGGGGCTGTGGGGTGTAGCACGGCCTTCTGAGCATAGTAGAACAGCTCAGAGATGTTCCTCAGGTTCTTGGCTGAACACTCCACACAGGTCTCGATCTCAGGGAACTGGCTCATGATGGGTAGTATAGCCTCCTGGCCGCAGGTCTGATTTGTTACCCACAAGGATGATGGGGACCCTGGGGTCCCCGTCGGTTCTCCCATTCACCAGTGGGATCCACTTGGTTCTAATCTTCTCAATGGTGGCTTCTTCTGAGACATCATATACCACACATACCACGTTTGCCTGAATAGTCTACGATGTGAGTGGGAACCTTCTCAGGGGTGACATCTGCTGGAATGGTGATCTCTTCTGCCCAGGGAGGAACCTCCTCCGGGAACTCCTCGCCCACCAGCGACAAGATCAGCGACGTCTTCCCTACCTGGGCCCGTCCTGCGCTGATACTTCCGGCCCACTGCTCGAGTTTCCGGCCCGCACAGAGCACTAGCGAGCCGGAGTGGCCAGAGAGGCCAGGATGCGCGGTCTCCCTTTCCTGAAAATTTAAATACTTGGTTTTCCTGTCCTCTCATCATTGAGTCACCTCAGCTACTCAATGATCTCAACTGCCCTCCTTATTCTAACAGTTAAATCTCAATACCCAACTCTGATTTCTTGCTAGATCTCCTAACACAACAGCCCATTGCCCTGAGTCCAAAAATACACCTGTATCTTCTCTGGGCAACATACAGGCACCTCCAATATGGACAGTGAAAATCTATAAAACTAGGAAACTCATTTGCTCTATAAAGCACAATTTTTTTTTTTTTAAATTCAGCCTCACAGTGGTTTCATTTGGCAAGGTCAAGAGCAAGACTAGCATGGCACAGAACTTTTCAAAAACAACTTCTCGTAAATATAATTCATAAGCTACATAGCTTGTTAACTTATGCATCAATCTCTATTTTAGTCATGAAATGTTTAGAGCCAGTTTTACACGTTTCCAAAAATAGACAAAGTTCAAATGTAGTGTTCCCTGTTAATAACGAAATTAAAGTGCACTTTAAATTGCTTTATTTTCATTGTTTCCGTACTATGTTCTCTTAAAAAATAGAATTACACAACAATCAGTGAAGTAGGTTTCTTGACTAGGATGCTCAGGCACACCACACTCATCAGGAAATAGCAGAAACACACAAGCAGGCTTCTATCAGTTAAAACACAGGCAATGCAACTACTGGTCTCAACTAGTATAATGCAAAAATGAAACCAAAGGCTCAAAGAAGAACTAATCTGTAGGACAAGAACTACACAAATCACTGCCTCATCTATGCTGAGCCCAGAAGAACAGTGCCCTGCTACAATCACTCACCATTCTAATCAGGGTTACATGGATGGGCCCTACAAAAGAGGGGGGAAATGTGGAACAGAACCTTTAAGTCCTACAAAGACCTGAAAGAAAGACTCCCTAGACTACTGCCCTGAGATAATCTAAACCTCGAACTGTAACTAGCCCCTGGAAGCACCTTGTAGCTAAATAACTGACTCACAAAACAGCACCTGTAAATCCTATGCTCCTTTAAAAAACAATCTATATGAGATCAAACAGTAAATAATTACTTTTAAGACAAAGATAAGAATAGAAGGGAATACAGAGATTAACGGAAATAGAACTACCAAAGGGAAATAATGTCCACACACTGTGAATAATTTAACCAATGTCACCGAGCAACATGTGAGAAATTACTGAATGGGAACCTAAACTGCTGCAATAAAAATTTTATTGCTGAAACAATAAAATATTATTGGAAAAACCAACCAAGGCTAAAATCTGAAGGCAAGGAGGGGTGGGAAGATTAAGGGCAACAACAGCCACAGGGAAGAAGTGAAGAAAATTAATACCACTGTGCTTACTGCATCCACTGTGAGTAGGAATCAATGCCAATAAAAAAACATGTGAGGCTCAAAACACAAAGCCTGCTTTTTGCTATCAGACTACCATACATTTAGCTTCATAAGGCTGAAACTTTAAAATCACGATTGAATTCCCCTGCATTTCCCATATTCAGAAAGGCATCAAATTCAGAAATCTCTCAATCCTTTTAATTCTTCTTTCCTTGTTTACTACCCAAGTTAAAAACTAGTAACTTAATGGGATTTCTTTTTTACAACATCTCAACAGTACCTCCAATTTGTCCAACTGGAGTTATCTTTAAAATAGAAAAATGATCAATTCTTTAATACAAAACATATTAGCCCCTAGTTACCTGCAGGATAAAATTCACATTTTGGCCTGGCCTGTAGGAACTCTTATTAACTCAAGTCTGCCTCCTTTTCCCTTTAACAGTTCTAATTACACTTAAAAAGGAGCTCTGCTGAGCTAAGCAACTGTGCTGCAATCCCAAAGGCACACAACAGTTTGAATCTACCAGCTGCTCCACAGGAGGATAGGCAATCTCCTCATGCAGTTTACTGCCTATGAAAACCAGCTGGAGGATCAGCTATGGGTTGGTTCTGACTAAATAGCACACAGCAACATCAAGTTTACAAGTCGTAGTTCAAATTTTAACTGTCTAATGAGATCCTCGTACAGCTTGTAGCAGACTGGCCAGCCACTCTGTGCTGAGAATACTGTATGAATAATCATTTAGCAAGAAATTATTATATCATTTACAAGCACATCTATTTCATCAGTTATGACATCTAGAGAACACAGAAAGTTACTGTTTCATCTCAGAATCCCCAGCGCCTAGCACAATGGCTGACATTTGACAAGTAATGCCACCAAGTAAACATGGAATAAGTAACTGAATGCTGACAGCATAGCCATAGAAGCAGCAGAATTACTTGTCTTCCCTCAGCTAAACTATCAAGTCTCAAACATTTTTTTATCTTGGAACTCCTTTGCAATTCTAAATGTTATCAAGGGCTCAAAAAACTGTTTAGTGGGTTATATGTACTGCTACTTAATGTACCACAATTAAATCTAAGAAATGTCTTAATTTATTTAAAAATAAAAATTCCATACATGTTCACAATATATATTTGATATAGAGAAAATGTAACTACTTTCAAAAAATAGCATGAAGAGTGGCATTGCTTTGCCACTTTTTTTTTGCAAATCTCTTTAATGCCTGGCTTAACAGAAGACAGTAGGATTCTGTAGCTGTTTCTGCAATCTGTTTTTTGGCATTCAGGCTTTTTAAAGTTGTCTAAGAACAGAGTTAATGGCCAGGCTTCTCTGGAAGATCCTGCAGACCCTGTAGCTCTCTAAGTCCCTCAAGCAACATATGAATATGGGCCTTGATATTCATGGAGTCCTTAGTAAGGCTATTGCTGAGCTCTGTAAGGAGACAGCTTTTCCGATCAATGAACTTGAGAGCTTCTGCCAATGTCAGTTCCAGGAAAAATCCATATCCAATAGCCATGTAAATCCGTGAAGTGTCTGGGACCTCTGTGTCAACAAAGAAATTACAGCCTAAATCCACCTGCATAGATAGCTTTGAGTCCTTGGCCTCCTGAAGTCGTTCAATGACGTTTCTTAGCTGAAGGTACTTAGCCAGCTGCTCGTATACCCTGTCACGATGGTCCAGCACCTTTCGCAGATCCCGCTGGAGGACATCACTGATAAAGCCCTCATAGCGTAGCACTTTCTCATCCAAGGCCTCCACATCTCGCAGTTTCGGGGTCATCGCCATGATGGGCTCCTTAAAGTCTCAGGAAATAGGAAAAGCAAGTCGGTAAGAACTCTCTCAATAGTCAGTATCTGCTTAGCTTAGAAGGAAATCCATTCTGACACAGACATGCACTTGGCAAAGTTGTCAACTGTTCTGTTAAGGAAAAAAAATAGTATTCAGTAAGAAAACATGACCACATCAGCTTGCAACTAAGAAAAAAAATCGCTCAAGTACTTTTTCTGGTGACTACCGTTGTTGTTGATACGTGCTGTCGAGTCATTTGCGACTCATAGCGACCCTATGTACAACAGCCCTAAACCCTGCTCTATCCTGTGCCAATCACATTGCCTCTGACACACCCATCCCAATTACCCCAGTCACTGAATCAATCCACCTCATAGAGGGTCTTCCCCTCCTGTGCTGTCCCCCTCTACTCTACCCAGCATGATGTCCCTCTCTAAAGACCTGTCTCTCCTTGCAACATGGCCAAAGTATGTCAGGCGAAGCCCCAGAATCCTTGCCTCCAAGTAGGAACCATGGTTTAACCCTCTCTAGGATGAATCTGTTTGTTTTCTTGGCAATCCATGGTACATTCAATACTCTCCTCCAGCACCACCGCTGAAAGGCGTCAATTCTATTCAACAAAAATGCTTTATTATTATGTACTCTCCATTTTATCATACAGAATATTTAAAGATGGGTACTTGGGTTAAGATTTAAAGAAATTAGTAATTTTTTACATCTTCTTCAAAACCTGTGACTTAAAGGATTTTTTTAAAAGGATTTTAAAATAATTGATGACCATGCTGAGAAACACATTTTGCCGTCATTTGCGGCAACGTGTTTGATAGCATGGCCCTGATTCAGTTTACCTTTGCGTTTGGTTGGTTGTGTTTTGTTCAGTTAATGTGTCATGACAGTCAAAAGGCAAAATGTTTGCACACAGTTTTAAACTCACAGATTTCCCAAGAATCTAAGAAACAACAGTCGACCAACAGCAAATTGAGAACCTAGACTCTTGAATCTGTTTCTAATTTTTTTAAATGAAGAAAATGTCAACGTCTTAGAATTGCTGGGAAAGTAAAAGTACATAAAGCTCAAAGTCTTATATACAGGTCTTTGGGGCCCCAATTTTAGACTCAATGGAATCTCACGTGGCTCACTAGAACTGCCTCGAGAGGTGCTTGGGCTGCCATCTTTATGACGTAGTGGACAGAACGCTGGCTGACACGCCACGCTTCTGCGGGTTCGAATACACCAGCCACTCCCCGGTAGAAGGATGGGCAATTTCCGCCCGAGGGATTTATAGTCTTCGAAAACCAGCTATGAGTCAGTTATGAGTCGGTCCGACTCGACGGCAACAACTTCTACGTTTTTGAGTTTTTATGGAAGTAGATCGGCAGGATCTCTCCGACGCTGGCTGTGCTACTAAGGCCAACATTTTTTTGGCAGCACCGGCGCTCCTTAATATACGGGACTTCGCTTTAAAAAATGTTAGTTTCGACTCGGCTATGATGATACCGCGATGTCAATTTACTTAATACTTAATTCGCCATGCCCAAAATTTCGTCACATTTGCAACATTTCACATTTATATAACATGTATCTATCTCAAGGATTCTGAATTCGCCTATTTGCTTACGTTACAATTTCTCTTTTTTCATTAGCCAATCTGTCTAGGTGCACGTCGTCTTATCTACTAGCACTTAGCAGATTTTGCTTTACACGTGACAGAACAGATTCAATGTCTTCTGAGCCGGCCTTTCTCAAAACGCCTTTTTACTTTGTATACTTACTATTTTACAGGTGTCTGGGTTAGCCTCTCTAACGGTACATCCACCAGATGAAGGAACTCACCGTAGAGACGCCCGAACGGTTTCAGAGTCCGGTAACTTCCCCAAGACCCTCAACTTAATATTCCTCGGCAATGTAGCGCAAGAAAGCTCTAGTATCGCGAGAGCTCGCACAACAAGGAAGGGGCGGAAATTAGACTGCAAAAGACTCCCAGCATCCTCAGCGAGTTTCTCATTTAAAAAAAAAAAACACAACAACAAACTGCGCATGTTTCCACGCAAGCGCAATAGCCGTTTCTTGGCCTCCGCCCGCCCCAGGTGCTATAAATATGGCTCTTGGGGCTTGATTCCGTCTTTCCAGAAGTTCATCGTCTCCTTGTCTTAACTGTTGGTAAGTGGCTTTCCTCACGGTGTATTTTATTACCTAGGTTTAGCATTGTAGTAAGCATCCAGTAAGCCGTCCTTTAGTGTTAGAGGAATATTTAGCCGCAATAGCTTCTAAAGAAACAAATATTAGTCTTCTAACAATTTCCTGCCTGCTTAAATAAAGAAAGGCAAGTTGTCTGCAATGTGAAATGCTTTTTTTTTCTGGTCGTAGAAATTTTACATAATCGTAGCACCTCTTGCTAGTTTTGTCATTATTTGGAGTAACTATTGGGGTTAGCAAAGCTGGAAACTTACTGCTCCTTCGCTAGCGTTACTGTTAGCCTTCTGCCACGTGCTAAAATGCGATTTCTGGCTACGATTTGGGTTGCTCGGCCAATGTGTGACTGCTCTTCTATCAGAAGATGTGTGTGAAAAAAAAGATGTGTGTGCAGTTATTTCTAAACTTAATGAAATTCTGGCCCAACGGCCACACCGAACTTACAACGTGGATATCCCTGGGAGGTCACTCTCCCCAGGCTCTGTCCAGGTGGCATGTGGGAGCTTAGGGCTCTGCCCGGTGATGTACAGTCCCTTTC